ATATATATATATATATATATATGTGTATATATATATATCAATTTATATGTCTGCAAATATATATATATATGTGAAAATGAAGCATTGGTGTGCTGGCTTATTTGTTTATTTGGTTTAATTTTACTTTGATAAACAACATTAATTGATCATTGGCCTTTTTTTATTCTCTTCAAGATATTAACCTCTTACTTCTAGTTTCCATTTTCACTTGAGTGGAATACTTTAGCCGAGACGTGTCATTGTGTGGTTAGATGAGCACGCTGAGCTGATGATGAGTAGATACACATCACATAAACAATCGCTGTCCTGTAGGCTAAGATGCTCAACTCTGCATGTCCAACCAACTCGTCTTATCTGTCCCTGTTTTGGTTCACGTCATCATTTTGCTGATGGGACGTCCTTTAAGAGTTCCTCTCCCTCTGCACTGATCATTTATGCGGGTTGTGTGCTGGAACACACAGCAGATAAGTAGGATTTGTGCACAGAGCTGAGGGTGTCATGTTTGGAGAAAGGGGGCCTGCGACACTTTCAAATCTCCAGATCAGAAACTCTTTTTAATACGTCACTTGTGTATTGCGTGCAAGAGTAGACAAATGTGGTAACTCTGCGACGCTGGAGTTATGACCAACGCAAGCAAAATGATCATGAACGGCTTTAACCGCAGAAAACTATATTATCAGAAAGAATCGTGAGAGAGTCGATGCTTCCATTCACTGTAGCAAAGATGAGTCGGCTGAGTGTATGATATTGACATGATATGAGTCATATCCTATGAGGAAGTGAAGGAAAATATGACGCAGGGATTTTTTTGGGGAATGTTTTCAGGACAGAGCCGTAGCTTGTTGAGTATCATCAGAGTTTTAATCCACAGAGAATTTATACATGTGTGCATTAACATTCTTCTTTTTACTGGCATCATGATTGAGACAATTCCAGACCAGAATGAGGCCTGATTTTAAATAATTATAATTAAGAATTTAAGCACAAAGCAGGTTTTCAATAGTAATGCCTCGTGATATACATATTCTCTGCTCTTAGCTCCATGTTTTGTATCTGTATCTCTACTGTCACTATGAAATAGAAAGGCCATGCACCAACATATAACGGTGTGTAAATGGGTTTTACCGTTGTCGGTGTTCCAGGATGATGCCAAAACAAGAACATGCGTAAATCAGTGGGCATGCATGATGAGTAAGATGTGTTTATAATTCAGACACAGAAGATGCATTTGCTCATTTCTGCTCTGCACACACGGTTCTTATTGTTTGAATGCATCTGATGTTTTCAGTGCTGAAACTCTCTTTAACCACACTTTTGAATCATGTCATCACAGGGTGAGGAGATCTTTCTGGACATGTTTGAAGATGAGTACAGGAGCATGACGGTCAGTTAGCCTTCATTTGATATGTTTTGTGACATGATTCAAATATGCTCTTGGTGTTGCTTGGAGCTTGTCTGTACTCGTGCACGTGTGTATGTTGCAGAGTAAACCGCTAAATGTGGAGTATCTAATGATGGATGCCTCCGTGCTGCTGCCACCCACGGGTACCCCTCTGACTGGTATCGACTTTGTCAAGAGGCTGCCCTGTGGAGACGTGGAGAAGACACGCAGGGTACGTCCACTCATTCACCGGAGCGCAGTCCACACTGTACGTAACCCTTCCCTTCAAAAGCCATGACTCTCTAATGCAACAAGTTGTTAGACTCCTGGAAAGTCAGGTCTTATTGTTTACACTGTACCACGTAGCAGGTGTAACTCACTTTGCATTTCTTTGGTTTTGTGTTTCGCAACCATGCTGCAAACCGATGACACCAGCATGGCGGCATTCCAAAGCTCAGATGAAAGATGGAACGTAAACCGTTGTAGTTTGTGTGTTTATGTGGGTCCTCTCCTCTCTCTGCACAGGCGATCCGTGTGTTCTTCATGTTGCGGTCCTTATCGCTCCAGCTTCAGGGGGAACCTGAGATGCAGCTGCCTCTGACCAGACCAGAAGACCTTATCAAGACGGATGACGTCCTAGACCTCAGTAAGTCAGACACAGAGAAACAGAGGCATACTGTATACTTTACCAAACCCAGACCGCATCCTACAGGACCCTTGACGTGCTTGCTTCTTTCATCATTTTTACACTTTTGGGAAATGGAGTCAAACTTCAGGGTGGGACACTATCAAATACTAAATTAAGTGTAATTACTGCTATAAAAGTATAACTACAGAAAGTTAAGCAAAGATGGTTACAGACACGTCTCTCTCTGTCTTACACACTCACTCTCCCTTTAAAAGACGGCATTAGATCGACAACACAGACATGTGAGTGCAGTCCTAACTATACATGCATATGCAAACGTTCACAACCACAATGACAGTAGAGCATACAGACGCACTTGCAACAATTGTGTCTGCACACAGCTTCCCACACTGAGATAACCTGAACGATCGGCTCTTACTGTACACAGGTGTGGAGGTGATGTTGTGGAAACTTGCATGTGGTTAGCTCTGCCTTGCAGGATATCAGTACTGCAGAGTTTGTGTTTTTGTTGTTTTTTGCTGATGTGCATATATGCCCTTGTGGTTCTAAAGTTGTGACTAATGTTAAAACAAATTTAAATATGCAACGTTTTGCCGTCTCAATCTCACAGCCGTCCACTTCTCCATGACTAAAGGGAGGCTGCAGCTCAGCTACCTAAAGTGTTGTTGAGGTGTTTGTTTAAAAGGTAATTTCTAACATACGGGATACACCTGGTTTGATTTTTATCTCCGTTATGATTACCAACAAATCCCATGGAAACACCCAAACTACAGGGAGTTGAGAGGTAAACACGACCTCAACAATTACTAATATGATTAAAGATGTACTGAGATATATAAATAAAAAGTCAAATTAAAGCTGCACGCAGCATTGATCGGGCCTTTGCACATGTTGAGGGTACTTATCCAGAGGTAGATGACGTGTTTGACACGTTTATATTACTGGTTATAGTATGTTTGTTACTGCCATGTACAACTTCTAAATGTTACTGATAAAATAAAAGTGACAGAACAGAGTTTATACCACTTTACTCATATCTTCCGCACTGAAGGAGCTAAAGAGCAGACGGGACAGCCGCCTCTCTTCTTTGAAATGAGCCTCTTCCCTCGTTGAAGTTCATTTTGACAAGCAGAACATCTCAGAAAGAGTACGGTTCACCACAAATTCCCCAGTGTGTCATACGCTATCTATATTAGGTTTATCTTATGATGCAAGCAAAGAGTTTTCGTTCCTCTTTCACACTATCTTGCACCATCTTTTTTTATTCTGCTTTTGTTTTGTACTGATCAGTAGCATGACGTAAACATGAACATTTAAGAAAATTACACTTTTTGTAAAAGATATTACTTGCACTACTGCACTTATACTGTTTTTTTGTTTTACCTAATATTTAGTATTTAATCTTATTTGGGATTTGAAATGATTAAAGTGGAGGTAGGTGTATCATTAATATCACTTCTTAGAATTAAACACAAAGAGAAAAGTTCAATGTAAATTCCTCCGGGTGACTGAGCAGTGATGACTGTACCGTCTGGCAGTGATGGCCTTTTACTAGTTATCATATCATCTGTGATGACTGAGCTGCAGTTTTGGTACTTTTTGAAAAAGTTTGCAGAACGAGTAAAGATTTAAACCTGATGAAAGTGTCCTGATGAGTGGATCACACCAATGACACGGCACTGAGCCTTCAGATACTGAGACGCTTTCTGTAGATATGTCATGGTTGTGTGCTCATTTGTTTCTGCATCAAAATACTATATATTAATATATTTAATTCATTGTCTTCAGACTACATGAAACAGTCATAGTTAACTGTTATCAATAACTGACCTAGTTTGAATTCTTAAGAGACTTTCCACTTCTGTGATTGATGCGTTTTGCGGGGTAGAAAATCCTTTGACGAACAGATGGAAACATATCTATTGAAACCGAATGTCTCCCTGCAGCTCCACTTTCAAATCTAACCCAGCGGTTGAAACTGCGGCTGTCTTTTTGTAATTCCAAATGCCAGTTGAAAGAGTCTGTGGCCGATATAGGTTTATGAGCTGTAATATTAAACCTGGAATTACTTCCGCTGAGCTGGGGGCTAACGGTGCTAACAACGTCAACAGTGCTGACAGAGCTTGCCGAGGTTACCTGAGGGTGGACCAGAGAATGGGCGCTACACTTCTCGATGACGCCATTGATCGGGACAAAGATTTAAACAATCTTTTGTGATTTAACTCTACCCATGTATAGTGAAAGAAAAACTCATCCCCACATTGGGTTTTCCTTTGTTTTCTAAGTCACTGTCACTTTTATACAAGTCAGATTGACTAAGAACACTCTTACAGAGTGATTCTGGAGAGAGGGAGGGTTTTTTTTATCGTGGGTTGGGGAATTTAAACCTGCAGCCTTCCAACCACAAACTCCTTTCTCTGACCAATAGGCTGCCACCGCCTCCAGTTCACCACATGATCGGTTAGCTGTTGTTGAATTGCAGAACATTTGCTAATGTCAGTACCTGCATATTGTGTCAGTGGAGTCGTAGTATTTGTGATTTCAGAGATTGTCTTGCAAGCGGAAGGTCATGTTGCATTCCCATCAACTGAAACATCAAGAGTGTGTTTAAGGAAGTGTGTACCTATTCTTTGCTGCAAACGTGTGTGAACCACAAAGACTAATTGTCACAATGTGCAAAAAGTCACCTTTTGAAGAATCTGACAACACTGATTTATGTGTTTATATGTTTCTAATGAGCCGTGACGCGTTAAGATGAAATACTCAAGGATACACTGACATATGTTCTTTTATCTTTTCGTACCTGTGAATACAGTCACTCCATTGTTTGCCTTCTGTAATGTTTGTGCAATAGGCAGGTTATTAGAGGTAAGATGTTAGCCTCAGGGACAGAGTGTTTACAGAGAACTAAGACTGCTCTCCCTGTACTTTGGTCTGAACAGCTTCAGTCACATCATGCTCGTAGTGACAGAGAGCGTCTCACTTCTATCTGAAGGATTCAGAAGAATATCAGCAATAAAGAGCATCGGCAACACTAATGCTGAATGATTTGTGATGTACACCTGTCCTGATAAATGGAACCGATGACACAGCAGTACGCCTTCACACACTGAAACTGTGGCTGCAGATGTTTTTTTGTGAGGGGGAGGCAGTCTAAAGGTTCACCTGACTAATAGATGGAGACACTTGACATATGAATAGAAATCAAATTGAAAACCGCCACTTGATTGGCAACTGACTTGGTTTCAGTGAGCCCATAAATGGAATCAACTTGTCCTCCATCGGATGACTTCAAACCTTTTTTTTTTTCCTTTTTTTTATCAAATTGACCCCCCCCCCCCCCCCCCCCCCCCTCTGTAGTCAGAAGTGAAGTCAACATTGGGGGTGGAAGGGTTTTTTTCTGCAGCTGGTCAGGGGATTAAAGTTATTAAACTTCCCCTAATTTCTCTGTCCATTTTGCTGTTGGCATCACTTTGCTGCCAGAGTAAATCGGGGACTACCTCCACAGCTGCAGGTACTTTACCCTGCTCACTGTTTCAGTAGGTAAAGTCAAGTTCCTGGTAACTCCCGGTGATCTTTGAATGTAACATGTATGATTTACACAACAAGCCACCAGCTGTGAAACTATAAATAGTGTTACCCCAGATCAAACATGGTTCTGTACTTAAATGAGCAAAACTTCACACTAATAACATTCATCACATACCGGTTTAATGTTGGATTACTCAGGATTCTTGAAAACGGAAATTTAAGGAACCAGAGAGCTTAAATACTATAAAGTGGAAGCGACATGAGTAAGAGAAGTTCATCGGGGGGGCTTTACATCAGTGGGTTGTTACAAGTTTACATTAAGAGCCAGTGACGGAGGCTGATATTAAAAACCAAACCAGTGGTGTCAAATCGGGTCATCATCAGTTCCACATTTCATGTTTGTCTCGCAGAAGGTTTTGTGGTAAACTGATGTGGGCTCATCTGTTCTTCATGCTGCTAGACGTGTGGAAGAGAAGTGTTCTCGGTCCTTTCGAGTGTACGTAGCGGTCTGTCCATTTGGACCGTCTGTGCTCTCCTGTCAAATACCTGCAAAGAATAATTACCGTCCCATCAGACTCGGCTGTACTTTGTGTTGAGTGCTTGATGTGGAAAACTTGTACTTCCGGTCTGTGTCGTGTAACCCTCGGACGAGACTATTTACCATCGACGTCTGGAACGTTGTCAAGGTCCTCATCTTATCTCAACCTCCAGACAGCCAAGGACTCTGATACCAAACCATGACAACACACAAACCATGCATTTCTACCACTGTGCTAAATCCCAAAAGCTGCATGTTAACCTGGTTAAAAAATGATACCTGCTAAACATCGATACGTTAGCACGCTGATGTTAGCATTTAGCTTAAAGTAGCGCTGTGCCTAGAGTCTGAGTTAGTCCAGCCTCACAGAGTGCCTCTGTGGCCCATCAGTAGAGCTGTAGGATAGGCCTGGGCCTGCTAAATCCTGCTCTACATTCCTTACATTACTAAGTGTAATTATTTGAACCGTAAACGGATCATTCCTGTCCTAGATGTACACTCTTAGTCTTGTCATCTTATGCAAACGGCATATTTCACGTATGTTGACTTTGGAGCCTTTGTCCCTGCAGGTGATATTGTTTGCTAAAGATCACAGACACACCTGAGGACTCGACTCGCATTTACTCTCATTGTCTGTCCCTTTTTTCAGATAACAGTGACCTAATAGCCTGTATGGTGGTCAGTAAAGATGGCGGCCAGGCCCAGAGGTTCCTCGCTGTAGATGTGTACCAGATGAGCCTGGTCGAACCAGAAACCAAGCGCCTCGGATGGGGTGTGGTCAAGTTTGCTGGCCTTCTGCAAGTAAGAGGAAAGGGGCGTGTCCACATCTGTGTGGATCTGTGTTTGTGCCAAAGAGTGAATGAGATGTTCAGTCATTAAAACCAATGATTCGTTTGTGTTCCTCCTTTTTTATTCAGTTTTAACTATTTCTACTTCCCTCTATCTTTCTACTTTACAATCATGCTTTGTATTCATTTATTTCCTTAGTTTTTTTGTCTTTATTGTTGACTCGATGTTTTATTTACAGCTTACATTAGTTTATTTTTTATTTTAGTTTTTTTGTCGTCGTCTCCCCCCCCCCCCTTTACTGCCACCACTTTGTCCTTCCTGTTTCTCTTCTTCTCTCTCCTTTGTTCATCAGATGTTGATTGCTGCTGCCTGAGCCTTTCATATCTTTTTTCACCCGAGAAACACTAGAAATGCATCACCAGAGATCTTCCAGTAACGTGCTTTACTGTCACTTCTGGGTACTTTGACGAGTGTAATCATGTTTAGTCATGCTGCGTCAGTGTGGCCACAGATGAGATGAGTTGATACTCATTTTTCTAAAGAAATTCTGAAAAATTAATTGCATAATAGATACAGTATGCACAGCTGTTGTGAAATGGATATACAGTAGTGTAATTACAGTGTTTCCTGTGTATTTTGAATCCATATGACGTAAGCTTTTCTTCCTTTTTCTGCTTTATGAATGTCACTTTAACTATTGTTAGGGTCTGACCTTATGAATGCAGCTAAAGTTTATGTTCCATTGATCTGTCTCTCAACTCACTTTCCATGTCTTTGTCTTCCTGTTTTCTTCTTCATCTCTCTTGACGCTCTCCCCTGCTCTTTGTTCTCCCTCTCGACAGGACATGCAGGTGTCTGGCGTGGAGGACGACAGCCGAGCGTTGAATATCGTCATCCATAAGCCCGGCTCCAACCCCCACGCCAAGCCCCTGCCCATCCTGCAGGCCAACTTCATCTTCGCCGACCACATCCGCTGCATCATCGCCAAGCAGAGGCTGGCCAAGGGTCGCATCCAGGCCCGACGCATGAAGATGCAGAGGATTGCAGGTGAGTAGACAGGAAGCCATGATCAGATGGTCAGTATGACCCTTTTCCTCACAGAGGCGGAAAGTGTTTCATTTGAGTTTTTTTTTTTTTTTTTGAAGAAGAAGAAGAAATCACATGGGATGTTAACCAGAAAACAATGAGTAAAAATAACTCTTAAAAACAAAAGTACACAACACTGAAAATATAACGATGGAGAATCAAATCATCACTAATGTACCACATAGCTGAACAGCTCGCACTGCTTCCAGCTCATGTTTCACAAGGCTTCAACGTCAACCAAAGGATTTACCCCAATTAGAAGAAAATGTTATTTAAGAAAAATGACAAATCAATTAATTCACTTTACTAAATTAAGAAGTGAAACTCCTCTCCAACAGAAGTGACAGCTATTCTATTTAGGAAGAGCTTCATAGTAACAGTCATCTGCCTGAATCAGTCCTTCCTCTCTCTTCATTCAATTCTAATTAATCAATTAATACACATTTTGAATGACTTCCTCCTCCAGGCCCTTTGTACAGTAAACACTGATGGATTTACCCATCAGCCACTTGTACTTCCCTTCCCGACGGTCTGGTTCTTTAGAAATACACACAGAAGTAATAGCAGAGTAAAGGAGGATGTGAACCCTTCCCAAATAGCCTCTGCGTCAGAATCTCTCAATGACTAAACAGTCACATATACAAAAACATTTCAAACTTACAATGAATTAAATCATAGTTTAAACAAATACAGTGGACGGGATAGACAGGATGTCCGCTCAAAGTTTGATTCTTTTCTCTGTAATTTCACGCAAAGTCCCAAAGGTTCACCTGCAGAGATGCTGTGTTTACATCCCTCTCACACTCTCCACTTCCTCTGCTTGCAGCTCTGTTGGACCTGCCCGTGCAGCCCAGCACAACAGAGGTGTTGGGATTCGGTCAGACGGCCAACGCTTCACCCAGCGCCCTGCCGTTCCGATTCTACGAGCAGTCAAGGCGGTCGCCCAGCGACCCCACGGCAAATAGATCGGTCTTCGCCTCAGTGGATAAAGTACCAGGTGACGCACGGATAACCGGGCTCCACTGCCTGCACGTACTGCTGTAGCCTATACACTTCCTCAGAGATCCAGAACCTCATCCCTTCATGCTTCTTTCTCGGCTTTAAATCTAGACAATGTAGACAACACAAGTAGCAGAGCGCCTGTAGCCTGGATCTGAATGATCGTACAAACGTCACAAAACAATGTCAGTGAACTCATTCCCACAGTCCACACACACCGAATACTTAATGATAAATATTATCAATGATAGAACAGAAGGTAATTCAAAATATATTGAGACCTTTCCTTTGAGTGTTGGAGAAAACCTTCAGATAGAATGGTGACAGCAGGTGGAGATGGGTTTGTGATTTGATCTTTAGTGTAGCTCTGAGGAAACAAAGATTAGAGGCTTTGTGTAGAAATGAGACTCCTGAGAATACACACTTGCTTAATTCATGCATTTCCATTCATGTTACATACCATTGCTATAGTTTTACTATAGGCTACCTTTTGTAGCCTTGTCTGTTCGTGAGAAGGACTCTTTGTTTGTCTCAGCAAGGAAACGTGCTCCTTTTTCTAATGTGAAGGTTCTGAAGTCCAGGCTTCATCACAGTGAAAATGAAAGCTAGTCAATGAATTTATAGCCACTTAGGTCAACAAAAGTCCACATGTTTCCATCTAAAGGGATGTTTTTCTGATTAGTATTAATGTGCTGTGTGCTTTGGATGAATTGCAATAATATTTAAAGTTTATTTACATACATTTTAAGTTTATATCTTTCTCAAAATCAAACAAATTTAGGAACACACATAAGCAAACGTGCACAAATGCAGGAAACTGCATCTGCCACACAAGTCCCTTACTATAGGCATAATGAGCTATGTGTCTATATACTGTGTGCCACACAATCATTCAGACTAGATGTGGCAAGGGGAGATCATTGTCCCAGCCATGGTAACACATGTCTATGTTCCTGTGCGCCATCTCCAGGTTTTGCCGTGGCTCAGTGTGTGTCGCAGCACAGTCCCTCGCCCCTCTCCTCCCCCTCGACTCCCTCCAGTGGGAGTGGGAGCACAGGAAGATGCGACTCTGTCACTGCGAGCACTATATCAGCTCAGAGCCCCACAGGTAGCTCACACACACAGTACATCCACATTCCCTCAATACAGAAATAAAGAGGCACACAGATTCTTGGACTATGATGTAAATCAATCATTTTGGGAAAGTAAAATTCAACCGGCAAAAAGAAACTAACAGAGTAGCATGCTCTTTATGGAGCTGAGGTGTGGTCAACACAGTATATCTGCACTATACAGCACACGCATACGTCTTTTACACATGTAGAGCATTGGGTGTAACTATGGAACATATTTACACTCGCCACAAAGACCACAATAGCTTGCAGAGTGATGTCAGTTGAGCTGTTGGTATAGAAGACGTAGCACAGGGACACTGTGTAACCGTCACCCCATGCAAAGAGCAGGCGAGGTAGTTTGGCACCAGAAAACTTGAAAAGGAATGTTGAAGAAGCATGTCGATGAGCAGGAGTAGTGAGTCTCCCCAAGCATCTAAATGATTAAAATAGCATTAGTACAATATCTCTGACATCTCCGTCTATACATACTAATAAGCACACTAACCTCCCTGCTCAGAGGACGTATTTAAGCAAACCTGTTTACACTTTCCTTGATTGGGCTGCTGAGCAGCTGATCTCTTGATCGTAAATCAACATGTTATGAACCCTCAGAACAAACGAGGATGTGTCATGTATACACCATCAAATACATCAAATATTGGACTGAAATGAATCGGCCGTTTTCACAGCAGCCGTTTTTATACATGTCCTTGCAGAGTAAACACGCGTGTGATTAATAGTATTCCTTATGTCCAGGGCTCTGGTATTGAGCATGCAGGCTCACTGGAATGACTGACACACTACAAAGAGCCTACAACCAAGCAGTCACAAAAACACGTATCTTTAGGGAGCACAGCGTCGTGAAAAGGTAGAAAGACACGGAGAGCTCATAAGTGTCCCGCGTCAGCAGTAGGCGTCTACATGTGTTGTTTCTTCGTGAATGCAAATCCCACATCTTACCCTCAGAGTACCTGTTAAACTGGTTTACTCCAAAAGAGGATTTGGCTCATCTGTCACACTCACCTGTGAACGTGAACATTGAGTACTGTGAGTGATTAGTTTGATCAAGACAGGAAGTGTTTCCATACATTGGCTCATACCTGAAAGTCTTCATGACTGCAGCTGATAAGTACCAAATGTTAACGAGCACATCACAAAAGAAATATTATTTTATAACTAAAATATTTTCACTATGACAAACTTAACGGTCTGAATCATTTCATTCACTCGTTTCTTTCCACCCTTCATCCAGTAGTTTGTTCTAACTTTGTACATCTGACATTGGTGATTGTAAAACGGTTTTGTTGATTCTTTCACACTGCACCCTTACACTCTAACAATGTAAGTATGCTCACGCAGTAGATTACATTCTAGTTCATAGCTTATTCAAACTATGCTGCTGCTGTTAAACCACTAGTACACCTGCTGCTGCTGCTGCTGCTTGTTTCACATTCACTAAGTCCACCCTGTTCCTCTTCTTCCTGCCTAGAAGCTTTCTGCACTGAAATCCTCCCCGTTAGAAGGGATCTGCTCATTCTTTACTCTATAAACAATGAAAAGAAGAGGAGGGACTTGGTGAACACACTGTGCTGTGTTACTCATCAGCCTGTCTGTCTGTGTAAATGCATGTGTGGTACCTGCATACTGTAGATCTCTGTAGTAGCTACATGACCTGTGTGGCGATGTTCATGTGTAAATCCCGGGGTTGTTTGGGCTCCCACTGATTGTGTTATTTAAGTTTGTTTTAATTACATTCAAAGTCTGAATATTTCTGAATTCAGACTTTTACTCTTGCGATGGTGCATTTACTGTGTTTTTTTTTGAGAGAAAACACGTTTTACCCCTTTAGATCATCTCTTTGGACGTGTGTTTTTGAAGGCTTTGTTTAAGAGAAGCCACATTATTTCACACCGGGGCCACAGTGAGAAATAAGTCTTCCTCTGAGTTCACCTGCCTCTCCTTCTCCTCTAGATGACGGTACGTTGTTGGAGCACACCCCGCCCTCCCTCTCGGGCGGAGAGGGGGAAGGAGGAGGTGGAGACGTAACGCTAGTCTGCTCTGCTCCCTCGGCACCAGTCACAGGCCTCGCCCCGAGCCTCACCCCGGCGTCCCAGCCCAACATCTCCCTCCTCACGGACGGCGACGCGGAGGCGCTCAGCGTGGAGTCGCTCACGCTGCTGCCACCCGCAGACTCGCCGCACCTGCACCACTGTGCCAGCCACATTCCCACAGCGCACTCCCTCCAGAGAGCAGGCACCTCCATCGCAGAGGAGGTGGAGGGGGAGGGACATAGGAAAGGTGAGCAAAGAGATGAGGAGGAGCTGCCAGAGGAGGGATCGCCCACAGACGAGGCGGTAAAAGAGGAAACAACAACAACGGAGTTGGTCACCCCCACTGACGAGGAACCCGAGGCAGAAGGTGAAGACGCTCCTCCAGAGGTGAATAGAGACGACTCAGCGGAAACGGAGGATCCAGAGATGCACACTGAAACACCAGACTCCCCTGAACTGGATTAAGCAACACACACACACAACCATGTTCATGCACTTCAACATATCTCTCACACACTTAGGAGGACAGGGAAGTGTGATAGTTAAACTATCCAGCGTCACTGCGGCATGTTTTCATGTTGCGACCTGTAGATGGTGTGTGATGTGAATAGTTGGATTTTGGAGGCATCTCAACATTTGTGTTTGCACATGAAGAGAGACTCTTTTCACTCGGAGAGAGCAGAGGCGCCATGTCACTGGGCGAATTAAAAAACAAAACAAAAAAACAAGGCTTCAAGCACATTTGGGTTTCTGTTCACTTGAGTGTGTCCGGTTGTGTTTTTAGTGAGCGTGTGTGTAAAGACGCGCAACCAGCAACGTTTTTTACTCATTCTGATCGATTGTTCATCAGCACAAAGAAACACACACACACACACACCACATGCTGCTGTTTATCCACAGACTTTTTGTCGTATGTTACGTTCACCACTAATGTTTTGTGGTGTTTGTCACGTCGATGCTAACACACACACACACGCTATACATACAGTCCACACTGAGTCAGCTGCACTTGCCTTTTAACCGCTGTCTGTCAGACCCGTTAGCAGTAACTGCCATTGGGAAGGTGTGTGTGTGTGTGTGTGTGTGTGTGTGTGTGTGTGTCGGGATGTGCATGGGCTTGAATGATTCAGACACCGTGGTTGTGCGTGTTTTCTACATTTTGTTTAGCTCTTATTGGTCCAGGTGTAGAGTAACGATCCGTTCATTTCACATTTAATAACTGGTGACAATTAAAGAAAAATATTAAAGTAGTGTGCAGCATCTTGAGCCGGGAGGAAGCAGGTCTCCTGCTGTAAACATTCATCAGACGTTGGCGTGGAGTGTTGTCCCCTGATAGTAAACATCATCGTCTTGGGATGAACGCATCACATCACGCAGTGGGTTTCCATCGTAGTTAACGTTGATCTCTTGAGCTCACAGTTTATTACGGGTTGCTTGCCGTGGATCAAAGCATTGTTTTGTTTGTTTTCAGATATGCAACAGTATTCAGCAAACCTTGACCTCGTTAGATTTGCTTTTTGTTTTCAACTTCCTCCTCATATCCATAGTGTAGTTCAGAGCCTTCAGGGATTAGATGGTGTGTGACTCACAAACGGATTTGAACGATCTGAATGGAGCTGAATAAGTGGTGCAGGAGTTCATTCATAATGGATAGCAGGTCACTGAGTAGTAGTAGTAGTAAATAATTCACAGTCATGTGTTCTCTGCATAAAGCACTTCAGCCTTAGTAACACAGGTGAGCTGCTGCTTTACTCAATGAAGAGCTGAGTGTTGTTTGCTATGTTTAGTCATAGAGATAAAGAAGTGGATTTGCGTGACTAAATGAAACGCTGACGTCCTCATCGAGTGATGTCGTATAACTCTGAAAACACAACTTCTGTGTCTGCAGGTTGGCAGCACTGGGTTGAATGTATGTGCCGGTTTCCCCCTCAGGTACTGACCTGAGCTCAGTCTTACTCTCATGTATCGCTCTCAACACTCAAATGACTGACAAAGTTCCAGCTATTGGTGAACCATGAAATCCTCGTCCTCCAGGAAGGACTAGTAGGGGTCTAATTTGCATAAAGCACAGTGTTTGGATTGTTTACAAACGAAAGGAAAAGCAACATTAACTTCTTGAGATGCTGCTCTGAGGTCAGTGTGGAGGGGCGAACCTCCTCCTTTAATCAGCTGAATAAAGCTTTACTACTGCAATAATCTGAAGAGCTAACCAATGAGGGGAGAGATGAATGTAACGGACGACTTATCTCTGTTGTGTTATTTGGTCGTTTAGAATGAGATGGTTGTGTTTTATCCTTCATTCATGACTTGATTTGTAAATCTTAGGAACAAAAGCAGCGTTTGTCTCTATCGCATCCGTTTGAATCCTTTTCCTCTTCCGCTCTTCATTTCTGTGCCATGATCTGAACAGCTCAAGTCTTATTTTTATTGTCTAACTCTGTACAGTCAACAAGTTTATGAAGGAGGAATCTTTTTTCTGTTTTTCGAGTCTCTCTCGCTCTCTCTCCATCTTGCTACTGTAAATAGAAGAATGATGGTGGTGATCACTGGCGTGCTGAAGAGGCTTGGCACAATTTGTAGAGCAGCTTCCGATGGTGTGAAGGAACATGCCGCCATCTTTGAAGACAGCATGGCGGCATGTACCCGGTAACCATTGGAGCCCGCTATCCTAACACGTCATGTCAAGCCTCCATTAAGTCTCTGATTGTAGTGTGTGTGTGTGTGTGTGTAATATGTTTATATGCTCTGTAAATGCTTTTTTTGCTTTTAAACCTGTAATTATTGTTAATGAACTGAAACAGAGGAATAAATAAAGAACTGCAATAAATTATTCTACTTAACAACAGTGAGGCTGCTGCTTGAGTCGTGTTGTCTGCACACAGAAGTTAGTTTTCCATACCCCCCCC